TGGGCGCGGGGAGGGTTTCCTTCGGCGGCCATTTGGCGGGGTGAAGGTGCTGGCGAGCAGCCGCCGCTGGCAGCCTGGGCCCGAAGGAGGCTGGGGAAGATGCTGGAGCGCGGCGGTGCCACAAGCTGGGCTGGGGGTCTCGCAACACCAGGGGAGGAAGCACTTGCAAGGCTTTTGCCAACAGGCCACCTCCTTCCCCGCAGCCATCTCTTCTCTCCCGCTGCCCCCCCATCTGAATCATGGAGCAGGGACTCTCTCCATCAGGACAGAAGGCACGTCAACTCGTTTTCCCCACACGGCATCTGACATTCCATTCAAACTAAATAGTTCAACTAGTTCAAACCGAGCTTGGCCCTTACCTATCAGGTTTGCGCTGATACTACAGTCACACGTGGAGGGGGAAAGTCAATGGCTTTCAGCTGATAGGAAAGCACTGCGTTTTGTTCAGCTGCTCAGTCACAGCAGCACGTCACTAAAAACGGGTCTGAGCACACAGGCGTGGCGTAACAAGCAGTTGTTTCAGTGAGACTTTATATCCCTGTCGATGTGGGGATGATGGAAGGCAGCTAGACACCTCTCCCTTACACACCCTCAGCTGCATCTGAGGGCAGGTCTCGCAGTGGCTGCTGTCCAGGAACACCACACCTGTCTCTCCCACTTACCTGGCTGTTGTTTGTCTTTTCTCACTTGGTACAGGAACCCACCACCTTGGCACAGCATGAAAGTGCCTAATCAACTGGCATGAGGGAGTGATGTTGAAGCCAATCCCAGACTTCAAAGAACTGTTTTGTTTTTATCCCTTCCTCAGCCAGAACAGAGATCTTTTCACCAGCTGCTTTTAGTATTTCAGACCAGAACAAGGGTCTGCCTCAGTTTCAGGTAAACCCCACCACATTAAGCCCATCTAACCTGAAGGAGACAGCAATGGTTAGAGTTTCTTCCTGCAAGGTACAAGTACAGTGCTCTGGTCAGGGAAGAGAAACCTATATACAGAGAAATTAACTGAAGTAGTTTAGTAAACAGACTATTTGTTTAAACAAGACTTTATTGAAAACATTTTAGAAGTTTATGTACAAAACAACATTCCCACCCCCATATCAGGATGTTAGTCACCCCCTGGGAACAAAGCAAGTGCCTGGTGTGTGCTGTCAACCTGGGGACACTCAGAGGTTGCTGAGGAATTTACAGAAGTACCAAATTCATGTAGTTTAGAGCTGGGCAATTTCAGCCTTGGCTCAGTTCAGACTGAAGGAAACCGAAGGACCTTTTCCAGAGACATGTCTCCAGCAGGCTGAACATGCTGGAATCTGACAGCCTACACCGGCCTTACTCTGAGGTCAGGTTGTTTACTTCTGCAGAGAGTGAGAGGCCCGCTTTGGTTTTGGAAGTGAAGAGGAACCAGCCCCTGGATTTAACTTGCAGTTTTTAATCTATTTTAGATGGTTCCAGGAGATACCCATCACTAAGAGCACAGTAGTATTTGCAGGAAGCTTTAGAACAGAGCAGTAGCAATACCAAGTAAGAGTCAGCCACCTCACTTTCCAAAAACAGAGCAGTAGCAATATGAAGTAAGAGTCAGCCACCTCACTTTCCAAATACACCTAGAGAGAGGCTGGATATCAGACTGGCTATTTCAACTAGTGTATAAGAAAATCCTAGAGACACAGACATTAGTGGCACAAGTTAAATAGTGACTGACATGCTGTTCCTGTAGCATACGGTGCACTTCTACCACGGTAGAGTTTCCCCTTGCCAGTCCAGGAAGGAACCATTTTCTTTTTCACCAAGACGGTCCAGAACAGAGAGAATACCTGGGATAGCCTCTTGCACCTGCATGGGAGCCTAGAGCAAATCAAGCTTAGATTATTACTGGGAATATCCTACAGAAGAGAATAAAATGCATTTAAGGAATTACTAGAATCAAGTGGGATGTATTTTCATGTTTCATAGTGTGCCTCTGCAGCACATGGAAGTGTATACTGTACAGTGGGTTCTTGCTCCGAGGGTTGGGACAAGGGAGTCCTACTTTCACATTTTCAGAGAGATGTCACTTACCATGTTTCCGCCCATGTCTGTCTGAAGCCAGCCTGGATGCAAAGAAATACAGAGAATTCCATCCGATTTCAAGTCTGCAGCAAGACACCTGGTGATCATATTCAGTGCAGTCTGCAAGAGTGGAAACCATCTATTAGTGTGCTGGTTTTACAAACCCTGAGCGAGACCTTAAGCCAAGCTAATTGGCACCTCCCTTCCACCATGCTGTCTCCTGACAAATGAGGGGGCAGTAACAGTATCACAGCAACTTATCCAGACTTATTGGGGGCTTCATTCTCAGAGATAGCTGTTAAGAGAAGCATTGTGAAAGCTCTATTGCCATAAGCTTACTGCCCAAAGATGAAACTAAGTTATGATGGAAGATAAAGTAGCATTTGAAACTCCCAAGGAGCTGTGGGGAAAATAATATTGACATAAGGACTCTGTTTTTCTGCAATAATCACTACACAAACATTCAGTTTTTTACTTCTGAACAAGGAAAACAAGCATATTAACAGCTTATGAGTAGGTGGTGTAGGAGAAACTGTATGTTTAATCTTGACTATTCGTACAAACTCAGTCTCTGGATGTGACAAAACTAAAAACTCCACTTCTCACTAACTTGCATTACCATGTACAGGTCAGCACACCTTTTGTTGAGCTTCATGCCTGCTATCTTGCTGGGATTGGAGAGGAACACAGCTAATAGGACACACAGTTGGCAGCATCAATTCTTCCCTGAATGCCAAGTCCCTCTGAAATGGATCTATATCAGAGTAGTGATGGAGCATCTGTGAGCCTGTTCTTAAGAAGTTGGCATGCTTGCTCCAGATGTATGGTTTTCACAGGTCCCATTTCCACCCACATGAAGAACAAGAACAGTTCCTGTGTCAGCCTATCCAAGGAAGTGCTGCACACCTCAGATCATCATTTTAAGCTCAGAGTGGTCTTTAACTCACAGGCCTGCCCTCACCCAGTGAGCACAGCCCAGGGAAGCCTACAAACCTTTGCTATCCTGTAGGGGTAGACCTTGAGGAACATCTCATTTGCCTGGACGAGTTGCATGGAGGCAGCAAGAGAGGACATATTGATAATAGCAGCTCTATGGCAGCCCATTCCTGTGCTCAGCTGGGCTGCCTTCCTCAGAAGGGGTAGAAACGCCTGTGAAAACAAGAGTTTGTTTTAATTTGGTCAGCTTGCTCTTGCCCATTCAAGGCAAGCCGGACTCTCAGGTTCTGCTCCATGAAGAATTGCAGTACAACTCTATGCCACCAGCACAGAATGGCGATGGCTCCCCAGACTAGCTGACCATAGGAAACCTTTCTATAACAGCCAGCTGTAAGTAGCAAGGACCTTCAGTCTCTTCTGCCCACCTCCTAGCCCAACCTGTCCCCTGAAGTGACCTCATACCAGATGGATTTAAATAAAGAGAAAGATCCTTGATAGAAAGGATCTCTTGCTGCTCTCTAGGCATGCAGTTTGGTATCAGACCTGTATCTGTGCAGTTCCAAGGTGACAAATGCTTGGGTTACGTATCCAGCTCACTAGTGGAAAAGCCTTTTCTAGTACCATAGATTAAGCACATTCCTCCCAATTCTTACCTTGGTGACCATCAGCTGGGCAACTGTATTGGTTTCATAAATGGTGAGCATTGTCTCTGCTGTGACTTCTTCCAAGGAAGCAAGCACATTGATGCCAGCATTGTTAATGAGGCAGTTCAGACCTTTGTCTCCCACAATTTCTTCCACTTCCTTGACTACTTTCTTGATGCTGTTTTCACAGACCACATCTGCACAGAGGAGCCAAGAATAGCCACAGTGAACAGCGAACTATGTGGTTCAAATGCCGTCTGTCCCTATACAACACATGCTAAACCAAAGCTAAGGCATTAGTCTGAATGGGACATTTAGGCAGCACAGAGATGACAATGCGCAGAAGTCTTGACATAGATTATGTTTCCCCAATGTTATCTTAAGATGAGGGTGATTGTTTTCAGCTGCTGGAGGTCATGTACAGCTACTGATCACCCAGGAGACCAGTTTCTTAAGATGCACCCACTTGACTTGATTGAACATACTTCGGTATAAGCCCTTTACTCACCCAGTTGGAGGAGCTTGATATTGCTGTATTGCTTGCTAAGCTGCTGAAGTTCCTAGGAAGAAGAAATTAGTTGTTATCTTTTATATATATATCTCCATGGCTATTACATGAAACAGTTTGGGATCTACACTTCCAGAATTGTAACTGCCATTTATTTTCAAAATTGGACTGAAGGCAGTGATACTACTTTGTTTTCCAACCTGCTGAGCAGCTTTCCTGAGTGCAAGACCAACTGCCCCAAGAAACTGGACTCTTAACCTGCTTAGTCAAGATAGCAGCACGCTAGATTACAGAGTTAGTTCTCAATGTGTACAACTCGAGGGTGTGTTTGCAGTGTAACCAAAGGTCTTCAATCAAGCGGCTACCGTTGCCAGTTCCACAGCAGACCCGGTGCTCAGACTGCATTCCAAGCCAGTCATTCCCCACTTCTGTAAGAAAAGCATAGTTCTCCTGATGCTCAGCTAGTGCTAGACATCAGTTCAGGGCAACAGCAATGCTTAAGAAAAGCCATTTGGAATTACTGTTTGCAGGAGAAGTTTCCTAGCAATTTTTCTATTAAAATTCTGTTTCCCAGCACTCTCATTAGCTTCAATTCTTGTAACTGAAGGTAAAGCACACATGAAATTGGTTACATACACAGCAACTGTCCACAAGAACAATTCTCTCTCTGCTAGATAGAGATCTGTCATTCAGATCTCACACAATTCAGTCATCTGTCTACTACCTCTCAGTAGAGCGATGACTTGGAGAAAATTACATGTGATTGTTGCTGGTGTTGCTGCTGGACAAAGTGTGTCCAAATTGGATTTACAGGCCAAGCTGGAATACTTAGGTTTCTGTGCCATGTAGCCAAGTGGGAAGCGTGGCCAAATGTAACAGATGGATTACATACTCCCAGCCATGTTTAGGAGTCTGAGGAACCCTGGACAAACATTCCAGCTCAAGCAAATCCATTTCTTTAGGAGCCCATTGGGAACATGGGTCAGGAGGGCTGATTTTGAAAGAGTACTTCTTTGCCACTTGGAGACACTTAGGGACTCCATGTCCTCTGTCAAGCTATAATGCATTACATCTTTTTATCTCAGTTCATACTCTGCGGGCTTGTTTAGAAACTTTGTTCTCCCACTGAGGAAAATCTGCAACTGCAGTTAAAGCTAGTAAGGGGAGGGGGAAGAAGGGGAACAAGTCAGAAGCACAAAACCAGAAGACATTCCTTTCTTGGATAGGGCTTAATGGGACAGTTTTCAACAGATTAAAGGCCCAGAACACACTATCTTGTTTATCGATAGTCAGGCATGAAATAGTTCTGCCATGTCAAGGCCTGCAATAATTATGTGGCTTTGGACTGTCCACTGGACTTTAGTTTGACAGTATTGCTTACTTGATAATAAACTCCAGAAGTGCTCTGGCTTCTCGAGGTTTGTTCATTTATTTATAGTTAGATTGCTTTACTCTCTGACAGGAACAAGCTACTAACTTTTGCTAAAAGGCCAGAGATGTTTTGTGTAGTGACAGCAACTGAGAGGCTTCTGAAGTGAGTAAGCAATATGTTCAATTAAGAAGTCCAAACACTGTAGCATTAAGCATTCTCCAGAACATAAACAGGATGAAATTACAATTGCTGCATGCAAATCAGGTTTAAAATTCAATGGTTTTTCCATTTAGTTAATTGCTTAGTTAACAAGTGACTCCCACTTCAGTGGTTTAAGTTTCTCAGAAGCAGCTTCCAGGCACAAAACTAACTTAGACAGCTTTGGTCTTCAAGAATGCTACTCCACCTGATATAAACATAAGCTGAAAAATCCAGTTAGGAAACCTAAAAATTGCAGAAAAGCCTATTCTTTTCCCTACTGTGACTAGAAGGAAGATGCGGAGAGGAGGACCGAGAGAAGTTCATGGCAGCGCAGATACAGCCATTTCAAGCCACCAGCCATGTATGCTGCTTCTCCTCTTCCCCCATCCCAAGCAGTTTTGATCAAAGAGATCAAAAGCCTCCCGTGTCCAGAGAACTCTGAAAATACTGCTGCAGTGCATGCATATACTAGTTATGGACTCCCCACTGAAGGGATGAGCTTTCCTGAAATTCGCTGTGGTCATCTGTCAAATGCCTTGTTCTCCCCCCCATTGAAAACAAAACAAAAAACAAAAAACCCCACCAAAACAAAAAAACCCACAAAACAACAAAAAACAAACCTACACCACCAAAGTTGTCTGCACATTTTTTTTGCAGCAGAGTTGTGCTCACTTTTTTTATGCCAACATGCTAGTGCGGAGGCACTGCACCCAGGACAAATAGGTTAAATCCCTGGGGAAACAAGATCTCAGAGCGCAGTCTCACAGAGCCAGTGCAGCCCATAATGGCAACACATACATAAGAATAAGTGAGCTCACTGGTACTGCTGTTTGAAGCGCAGCTTGTATTTTAATGTCAGTTTACACAGTTTCATTTAAAGATGGTAGGTACAGCCAACATATCCCAGGCTAAGTCATTTTTAGTCAGTGTACTGTGATAGCCAATTTAAAAACAAACAAGACAAACAAAAACAACAAAAAACCACAACACAACCCCCTAATACTGTGTTTAGCATAGTAGCTCTAGAAGTATTCCACACCTGAATAGCTACCCCTGAGAATCAACTCTTAGGGATTCCAAGAAAAATTTAAACTCTGATTAGCATCTGTTATTTCCTGTTCGCTGATTTTAATTACAATTAACAAAGAGTCAGTCTACTCCAATTTAAGCAAGGTCCTCTGGCACTCAAGGCTCCAGATACAGATTCATCAGCACACAGGATATTTATCGCTCGATTTCAACCAGGAATGTTATGTTGTCTTTGTCATTTAGCAAGATTTACTTTGCCTTCTTTATGAAAGCATTATTCACTTCAGTTACAACTCTTGGAAAGGACCTGGCCATACGAGGCCAGTTGGAAGCAATCAAGCCAAACTAACATAGCCTGTAGGCAGCTTTGTCAGGCAAAGGGTACTTGGGTATCCTTTCACATCATCCTGCTTGCACTCAGGACAAAGTCAAAGATGTATCATATTTGCCCGTGCCTCTCTGAGACAGGCTATTCAGTATCACAGTGTACAGCCAACTCACTGTTTGATTGTGTAATAGCTTACACCAAGCTGCTGCAGACTGCCCCAAATCACAGTCCTCTCTGACTCAAGAAGAGCCAAACCTTAATGCTGTGGGAAGTGCAAAACACTTCCAGAAAAAAAAAAAAACCAACACTGCAATAACCCAAAATTAGAAAGACTTCAAGAATGCCCCCTTTGCCTGATACAACACATCTATCTTGCTGGAGCACTGCTCCAGAGCTTGCTCAGCTGCTCTTCCCAACAGCAGACCACATGGCTAAAATATGTAGCAAAGAAAAAACAAAAACAAAACCTGACAGAGACAGTGTGCAGAAGCACTTCAGTGAGAGCTCTGTGTCTGACAAGGGAACAGACACAGCACTGTTAGTAACACTATCTCCTACTTCAGTGGAAGGGAAACAGCACATTAAAGCCCTGGAAGCTTTCCAGAGCCCCGTAGAGGACTACTGAGCAGCGAGGAACTGCTGCTTTCTTGTTCACCTGGGAACACTCTTGGGCTCGCAGGGAGAGCAGGAGGAACATAGAGATGCTCCTGTCCTGAGGTCCCACCTTCAGCTCTCAGCACAGCCTAGCAGAGCCAAGCGGAGTGCCGGGAGCACTGGGAACAGATTTACACCATGGCCATTTAGATCCCTTCAGCTACCTCGCTTTCCCAGAAAGCCGTCTCTTCCTTCCATACCTCAGCAAGTCAGAGGGGGGACTAGAGGGGCTACACCGTCATTAGGTGTAGTCTTAGACTTCAGGTCAGAGTTTTTTCCCTTTTATGGGGAAGCAGAATGGGGGAAAGAAAGAGCAAGAAAGAAAAGAAGGAGGGGGGAGAATTACAGATGGGTCCATGAGCCCATACAGGCTGCCTAATAATAACTGTGCTGTGGTTTTGTCCATCTGGAGTGTAAAGACAGGACGTCAGGATTATTTTGCAAGAGATTTGTAGCTGCTTCCACTCTCAGTGCTGGAGCAGCCCAAGTAAAGGCAGATCAGAATCAAAGTGTGGCTGAAGGAGTCTAGTATGGTACTTTTCAAGGAGGGGCAGCGGTTATCTAGATGCGCCTGCAGGCCTGCTGCATGTTATCGTGTGATCTAAAGCCCATTTGTTAGGCAAATGTTCTGTGGAGGCCACCTAGGAGCTATTCAGCACAAGACCTCAAGTTATTACAACTTCTGCCAGCACAGACTCACATGCAAAAGCCTGCAGCTGTTCAGCATTATCCCAGGGTTAGCAAGTTACAGGAGACGTGCTGCTTTCCGTAGTAAGCAGAGGAAAGCGAAGTCAGACTCTTCTCCAGCATCTCTTTCTAAAGTCAGGTCCTTAGGGGCTCTTGTCTGTCCACTGTTTGGAGGACTCCAAAGTACGCAGTCATCTGTGTAACAGCATACACTCTGCCGAGAGATTCTCTGGATAACTCTCAGCTACCGGGGAATTGCTGCTGACTATTGTCCCCAAGATGGGCGCTGGATTTGCTAGTAGCTAAGCGTATTTAATCACTTTTCCTCTAAAAACTGGAAGATGATTTTTAAAAGGCTTTTCATTTAAGCTTTTCCCATCCTTTTTCCCCTCCCTGCATTCTGCAAAAGGAAAATGCTACTCTACCAAAACCAGACGAGAGCAGAATTTAAGAGAACTGTCCAAAGCTGCTTTTCTCCAAGTTCATCCTCTAATGCAGAAGTGGGGGGCTGTGCACTCATATTAAGCAAGATTTTTCATATCGTCACTTACCACAAAGCAAAGCGGGAGGAAACAAAATTAGACCGCTTGAATCACTGTCAAGAGAAAAAGCAAGCACTGACAGCTCAGGTATGCAGAGAAGGAACAAGTCACTCAGCTGTACAGCCCAGTCTGCATGGTCAAAATAAACAGGTCTTAGATGGGCAAAGCCCATTTCATGTGCTCTAAGACGAGTCTGCAGTGCCAGCCTCTGGAGTGCAGGAACCTGAACTCTGGGTTTT